AAAAAAATATAGAAAAAAAAAACGGATGTTAAAAAATTTCCTGCGCGCATTACGTGTACGCCGCCTGCCCCCCACTCACGCACACCTCACCGAGTGAACCAACAATGAAAAATTATATCATGATTAGAGATTAATAAAAAATTGTAAACAGAGAAACTCGACGTGTCATCCCTCACGGGTTCTTAAAAATATCTTTTTTTTCACTCTTTGCAGATCAATTAAAATACTTTTTTTTCTTTATCGTTTTAAATCGTGTGTCTCGATACGATCTCGCAATCCACCAATCGCTTTGCGCTCACGCATCCATGTGCTACAGGTCAGTACAGGCTAGTACTATATACAGCTATCAGATTGCACTGTTTCTCTTTCTTCTGTGTCTCTACAAGGCAATATTATCGTTCGACAAAAAAGACTGAAGATGTACACTCACTCGAATAGGACCGTTAAGTATATCACAATATTTTGTAACAACATTCTTTGTGATCATGCTTTGATCTGTTCGAGATAAAATCGGACGAGTCAGTTAAAACACCTTCTGTTCTGAAATCCTAATTTAGATTTATGCGGCGTAACGTGCTTCGTGTTAGTTCTCGAGTTTGTTGTTTCTAATTGTAAGCAAGTGTGTCTTCGATGTTAGACCATGTTCAAGCGAAGATTAAAACAGACATTTCGGTTGCACATATATTTGCCGTGGAAAGCAACGAATGTTAACGTTTCTCCGTTTTCGTGAATGTTAGAACAAACATTGCACAGTGTAACGTGTTAAAGAATATTATGATTAGAGGAAAAAAAATGACAAGAAACGTGTGGCAACTACTCCGTATTTTGTAAATAATTTCTGTGTCAAAGCGTCAACTTTGTAATTACAGCTGGAGTCGAATAATTAAGGACGGCAAAATTTTTAAGCAACATGAAAAAACAGGATAACAAGCGATCAATCGAAATATATTTCGATCAATCGGTAGCGATATCTCGACGTAATGCAATGTGAAACACAAATGACATGTGATAAGAAGACTTAAATCGATCATCATCGCGTAAAAAGAAAACAAACAAACAAAGTGCATATGGAAACAGATAGTTATATATAAATATTACTAGTAGCCAGCACCCTGCGGATTTGAACGCAAATAAAAAAGAAAAACGCAGTATTCTCAGTATAACAGGTTTACATTTATTGTCTCGATCTCCCCTGGCTTAGGCATATATTTAATAAAATGTAAATGTTCATCGCCGTTCACTTGCGTGGCTTACAACGTGGGGCTGTGTGTTGTTAAAAGTAAATCGACGTTTTTTTTAAAGAGTACCATGGTGCGCTTGCTTCACACACACACATATGTGTGCTTCGATCGAAGCACGCTTTCTCTGTCGGTATATCTCGAAACTACTTTCTCTGAACAGCGCACGACGACGAGTCGTGTTACAAGCAAACGAAAAGACCACTACTGCTCTTATCATTCGTAACAATTCTCCTCGTTTCTCTCTCTTTATTTTGACGTCTTGTTTCTTCCTCGTAACGAAACTTCAAACCCTGACCGCGTGCTATTACCAATTCTCTTTTCGATTTCTCGAACTGGATTAATCGAACGTTTTCTTCATACTCTGAGAGAAGTTTTTATACATGATTCTAATATGTGTATGTATAGTGTATTTATTTTTATGTTTTACCCCCTTTCATTTCTAAACGATGTCCGTCGACATCTCGCACCGATTAAATGTTACTAAGTTGGTACACAAAGCGGATGTTTAATTATCTCTCTTAGTTGTATGTGTATAGTAGTATGTGTATGAGTGTGTTTCCTTTTTCCCAATTAAAAATACGCACTTAATTGGCACGGTGAATACTCTGGAACAACGGCAAGTAGCATTCACATCTCTATGATGACGTTTTACAAAATACATGTATATATATTCAAAGCTAACAAAAAAAGCAGTGTTCTTTTACGGCAAAGATTTCTGTTTTCTTGGTTATTTGCACCGTTGATATTCGGCAAAACATACACATATATGTATATGCATATACATGTATATCATCCGGCTAGTTTACCGTACGACCGTGTTTCGTGTCATCTACATGTCATCGAGTGTAACTAAAATTGTGGTTATCTGGTTGTCTTCTCATATTCGATACAGGGACATTTTCTACTAGTGATCATATTTTTTTTTTTACAAAAACGTTC